CAGTGGCGCAGTGGTTAGAGTGCAGTACTGCAGGTTACTTCTGCTAACTGCAATTTGGCAGTTCAAATCTCACCAGGATCAAGGTTGACTCAGCCTTCCACCCTTCCAAGGTGAGTAAAATGAGGACCCAAAATTGTTGGGGGCAATATGCTGACTATGTAAACCACTTAGCAAGAACTGTAAAGCACTGTAAAGTGGTATATAAATCTAAGTGCTATTGCTATTAGCAGGAGAACCTAAAATCTTAGTTGTTCCTATATCCCAGCATGCCGATTATTTAAGAATATGGCTAGTTGATTACTAAGTATCTATCACTTATGGACAGAGGGAAGCTGAGCATGCAAAAATTGTACTGCAAATATGTAACCAGATTTTTAAAAAAGCACTTTCAGCAAAGAGCCCCCAGATATAAATGGATACATACTGTGTGTGTCAAAGTATCTTGCTTTTTCCTTCTTGCCCCCAAAGAGAGCTGCAGCAGCCTTTTTGAAGAAATTCTTAGCCGGACTTGACAAATTGAAGTCAGGAATTGTGTGACAACAGCTAGCTGGAAGCCTGTCTGGAGTGAAACCCTGTAGAAAGAGAACATACATATATATATACATATAGTCAATTGTCAGCAGCCAGTGTCATTACTGAAAGAAGAAACTCCAAAAGCAAAAATATTACTACTCACAGCAAAACTACTACTACTCACCAAGAAGAAGTCATGCCGAACAATGTCATCTAAGCTGGGGCGGTCTTCTGGATTTTTGGACAGCATGCTTGCAATCAAATGTTTTGCAGGAGGCAACAAAGATGACGGTAAAGAATATTTTGCTTCTCTTATGCATCGATAAGTCTCCTTTAAGTTGGTTGTTTCAAATGGAGGCCTTCCCAATAACATTGTATACCTGTCAGAAGACAAACACAGGACTTTTGTTATCTACCAAATTTTTAAAAATGAGGCAATCTCTTTATGAAAATACAGAGATCCCAGAGGTCAAAATGATAGAAAACACATCACACATTACTTTGTACCAATATAGCACAACATGTGCCCACGTGATGTCATTTTAATAAAATGCAACCAGTTCCCCATTATTTCAAGCACTGGCTTGAAAATCCAGCTTAATATCCTCAAGAAATACTCACATGACACAGCCCAAGGCCCATATGTCAGATTCACAGCCATGCCCTTGTTTGTTAAGAACTTCTGGGGAAAGGTAGTTTGGTGTGCCACAGATCGTTCTGAAATAGAGTAAAATCAAAATTTAGAATCTATTGGTTCAGAAGAATAAAACTATTGTCTAAGTTCAAGTCCTTCCTATCACCCAAAGTTCTGGCCCATCTGAAACAAGCTAAGCAGTGTTAGACCAGGTTAGCACTTGGATGAGATCACCAGGAAACTTAAGTGTATAGGCTAGACTAGGAAGTTGAACAGCACATCTGAAGGCAATGCAAGCCATCTTTATTTATTGTGAAAGAAACTATGTGACACATCTACATGGTCACTAAGACTTGAACTTAAAAGGAATTTTTACTTTTATTAGTTTGGCTGTTACTTCCATACTGGGAATGTTCACTGTTAATTCCTTTCTACTTCTTTATGCAAGCTGTCCCATGCTATCCTTGACTATATACTCCATAAAATAGGTTATATATAGATTCAGTATTGTTTTAAATAGTTTTGTTATTACTGCAGAAGACTCAGTAACTACCATCCTTAAGACAATTCACTTAGTTAACTTTCTTTACATCCATCTCTGTCCTGTAATATTCTGATAATTGTTCAGAGATAGAAGACAGCATGAGTTGACCCCCAAGAGATGAGAAACTGGTGACCTCCACATTGTTAGTAATTATCACTGCTAGCAGCCTCAGATAATGTGGCTCATGTTGTGAGATGCTGAGAAATGCATTAGTACCAAAAAGGCCCATTCACTCCAAAGAAAATTTATACAAGTGGAATGCATGAGTATCTGATGACTGCCGAGTCATCAGATACCATGTCTTAAAGGCCAATCTTTGCATACTGTGGAAGCCTTCATCTCTCCTAATGTAAAATCTAAGACTTCAAAGCTAGGCAAGAGAAAACATTGAACTGAAATAATTGTCCTCTTTCTTAAAGGTTTACCTTCTCCTATGTTCCAACGGTTCAAGCCTGGCAGCCAGACCAAAGTCACCCACTTTCAATTCCATGGCATCATTAATGAAGAAATTACCTACAGATCAAGAGTGGGGAAAAAAAGACAGTTGATTAACATATTAGACAAGTCCTGGCTTGTGTCTAGAGGAGGTCAGCAAATAGCTAGCCAACTTTTATTTTATGAATGACTACTTAATGCTATTACTCAAGCATTCCAAGGCTCTCTTACCAGATGAGCCGATTGTATCTATTAATCTCTGGGAGTGCAATATAAACACAGAAGTAAAACAATGCATAAGGAGTGGGGGGGGCAGAAACCACCCTGTTTCTTCCAATATCCGATACAAGCCAGGCATGAGAGAGAACATCAGCTTACCTAGCTTCAAGTCTCGATGCAAAATCTCTTGTTCATGAAGGTATTTTAGTCCTGATACAATCTGCCTTAGATAGTATCGCACTTCTGGTGCCGTCAATACCTTTCTTGCTTTCAAGATGTGAGCCATAGACTAACAGGGGAAGGAGGGAAAAATATAAAAGACAGAGAAAGTTACAATCCTGAAATCACACATTAAGCCTGAACAGATGTAAACAAAAATACTAGCATTAGGGCAAGGAATAAAGGCTGCCTCTGGAAGATACCTTTTTACATTTTAAATATTTTTTACATTAGCTGCTGCTTCCATGTAAGTGAATACTGGATTTGGCCCACCGGATGCTCACCCTTCGGCTGCAGTATTCTAGGAGAATATAAATGTTCTCCTTGTCTTCAAAGTAGTGGAAGAACTGGACAATATGTCTATGGTTGAGCATTCTGTGCAATTCGATCTCTTTATCAATCTGAAAAAGGAGGGGAGGCAAACAAAAGGATTATTAGCATTGCTTCCTGCCATCCATGGGAAGAAAGGATTTACACGTGAGCAAGCCACTGCAGGAAAAGGGAAGGGCCACCCAAGCATTTGAAGAGATTCCTGAAAGGAGAGTCACAGTCAACACACACCTTTTCTCTTTGATGAGGTTTGGCTACTCGGCTGTGAGGAATGATCTTTGCAGCATAGACTTTGTTTGTGGTCAGATCCGTCATCTCATAACATTTTGCAAAGCCACCCTACAGACACAAAGCAGAGGAGAAAGCACATTAGGGTGAGAAAGCAAGATATTCCCCCTTCCCTCCTTTGAGGAATCTAAATCAACGAAATCTTAAAAAAAAAAAAAGCAAGAGATGTCATTATGAACAGATCGCCCACAATGAACCAAGGTATTGATGAGGATTGGGGTTTCCAACCCCCCCCCCCAAATCTGACCTAAATTTTCACCACAGGCAACCTAAGAATACCTTTCTCCTAGTACTTAAAAACGAAGCCAATTTACTCAGCTCCAAACAAATCATCACACAAAGGCAAATTAACAAAATTTCTTTATAGCAAGGCAACAGATCTCCTTCCTGTGCATTCCCAACCTCACTGTGCAGGAATCTGCAATCTTTCTACACACACACAGACACAAAAGCAGATCACAGGTTCTCTATTGCATTTTATATACTGACAAAAAGAAGGGGGGGGGAGAAAAGAAAAATCCAGATGTTTGGATTCCTGCTTTGTGAAATGCATATTGCATCGGCTTCTCTCCATAATAGCATGTACACGTCCTACTACTATCCCTCACCCTACATGGAAGCCACACTCTGTGTAGGAGTTTTTCACATCCTTTTGTGAAACCACCTCTCCAGACAGGCGGCTTATGTGTGTCACAAGATCCCTAATAGCAACAGCCTGGGTTTTTTTTGGGGGGGGGGGCAAGTGCTTCAAGTGAGCCAAGCGACACAAGAACGAAGGGGGGGGGGGGGGAGAGAAGAGAAGGCAAATCCAGGAGATGGGAATCACAAAGGACCGAATACGCCTTTAATATCTATTTATCCTCCCATTTGTTTACCCTTCTCCCCCCCCCCTCCGAAGGCCACACAAGAGAAATAAAGGCGAGAAAGAAAAGTGGGGTAAGGGGGGGGAGAAAAAGCCTTGCACAAAGAAGGAAGAAACGGGAACGTCGTTCGATCGAGCCCCTCAAGGCGAGGAGAAGGAGTCACTGAGAACTATGCAAGACCGTAACAAGGAAAAAAAAAATAAAAGAAGAAGAATTCAAATGCCAAATATGAACGGCGATGAGGCAAGAGCTCACATTTGGGGACGGACATGGGGGGATTTTTTGGGGGGGGAGGGGGTGCAGGAGGACGCCTGAGCTTCGGGACGGAGCCCTCCTTTTGCAACCGCCTCCGTGTTCCACGACTAGTCCAAAACTCAGCCAAGCTCTCCTTAAAGGCTCTCCTAAAGCTGCCTTCTCTTTTTTAACTGCCGCCGGGCGTTTATTTACCTTTCCCAACACTTTCCCGCGGCAATATCTCCTTCCCGTGGTCGGGTCTGTAATAATCCGAGAAATCTCGGGAGCCGAATGCGAATGGTGGTGGTGGTGGTGTTGATGGTGGTTATCGGACGACTCCGCCGCCTTCTTTCTCCGCGAGTCTCCGCCGCAGGCTTTCCCCAGCGCCTGCTGCTCCCCCATTTTACTGCTGCCGCTTCCACCACCACCACCGCCGCCTCCGCCGCCTCCGCTAGCGGCTGTACTGCCCGGCTGATAAGCGATAGTCCTCAGTAAATCCATTGCTCCTTCGGCCGGCCCTTCACCCAGCACCCCACAAGCCCGCTCGCTCGTTCCTTCTTCTCCTCCTCCTCCTCCTTCTTCTCTCCTCCCGGCTCCGCTCTCCCGATAGCTGTGCGAAGCGTTCGGCGGTTCGGCATCCTTTTTATAAAGGCAACGGCAGGTCCCGCCCAGGCGCTGACGTCACAAACCCTACTTGTACTCCGTCCCCTCCCACCCAGGTGAAGTTCTGCGCGGGTTGGGCTGGACGCGTTGGAGCTCCGCGTTACGCCCCGCGCGGCTTTGCAGAAGGACCCCCTGCAAAGGTGGGTTGGCGTTCGCCGCTCCAAGGTCGAGCGAGCTCTCGGGCGGAGGAAGAAGAGCTTGCCTGGGTTTTGACGACAAACCCCTTTTGTTCCAGCTCGATCCTGTCGGCTGCTTGAATCCCTGCGGGATTTGTTTCCAGTCCAAGAAGACGGCTTTGAACTTTATTATTTTACTAGCTGGATCCCTGTGCTTCGCTATGAAACTATGTGATCGGGCTCGATCAATCGACACTTACAGCTTGAATCCTCCCCATCCTCTCCCCTTCTCTCCCTCAGCCTTGCCCCACAGAAAGTCTCCTATCCTATCCCCTTCTCTCCCTCAAGCTTTCTAGCCCTTCTCTCCCTCAGCCTTGCCCCACAGAAAGTCTCCTATCCCCTTCTCTCCCTCAGCCTTGCCCCACAGAAACGTCTCCTATCTATCCCCTTCTCTCCCTCAGACTTTCTAGCCCCTTCTCTCCCTCAGCCTTGCCCCGCAGAAACATCTCCTATCCTCTCCCCTTCTCTCCCTCAGCCTTGCCCCACAGAAAGTCTCCTATCCTCTCCCCTTCTCTCCCTCAGCCTTGCCCCACAGAAACGTCTCCTATCCTATCCCCTTCTCTCCCTCAGCCTTGCCCCACAGAAACATCTCCTATCCTATCCCCTTCTCTCCCTCAGACTTTCTAGCTCCTTCTCTCCATGAGGCTTGCCCCACAGAAACATCTCCTATCCTATCCCCTTCTCTCCCTCAGACTTTCTAGCTCCTTCTCTCCATGAGGTTTGCCCCACAGAAACATCTCCTATGCTATCCCATTCTCTCCAGAGTTATTTTCAAGTTGGGAGGGGGAGTGGAACATCTAACTAATTAGCATCAGAGCGTGTTAATAATAATATAGGAAATACTAATGCTCTGATGGTCATTTCGAAAAATCCTTTCTTAGTGAGCACTTAGAAGCCAAGAGGCAAATATGTGGCAAATTTCAAGTTTGTAGGCTTTACGGTTCTGGAGATTTTGTGATTAATGCGTGAGTGGTTTTCGCTTTTATATATATAGTTTTTTATTTATTAGTTTGTCAAGTATGTACAAGATAGCAGGTATGAATATGAACATGGACATGAAGGAAGGAAATGAATGCAAATAAAACTTCCCCCTATATTCCCAATCTTCCAAACAGACCGGCCTGGCCAATAAGATGGATATTCATACAAATTATGATTGTGATCCAGAATCAATAAGTCTTTTAAAAGTGAGAAACCTTCAAACCACAGTAATTTAAAAGAAGCAATCTTACCAGAGGGCAAACAAGGGGCACATCCCTTCTGCCTCCCTACTTCTGCCCTCTTTCTGTAGGTGCCAATATCTGCAGGTTGGGCATTGTTCTTTTGCACCCCATCTTTACAATCCTGTGCCTGAGAGAGAGAGAGTAAATCACAAATTAGCCACTACTTTTCAGTGGCCGAGAGAGGAGGAGGAGGAAGAAGAAGAAACTCAGTTTGTGCAAGAAGATCACACAGGTTATAAGCAACAACATGACATGATTCATTGGAACATCAGTAAAATTATCATGTGCCAATAGCAAAAAAATTGGTGGGAACATAAAGTTGAAAAAATGGTTGAAAAACAGGAAGTCAAAATATTGTGGGATTTCTAAATACAAACTGATAAGCTCTTGGCTCACAACAAACCAGATTCAACTGTGGTTGAAAAGAAGAAGGTAAGGATAATTGATGTGGCAATGTTACAGGATAATGGTATAGAACAAAAACCCGGAGAAGAAAAGAAATGATCGAGATCTGAAAATTGAAGTTGAAAGATTATGAAATGAATCCATGGTGATCCCAGTGGTTACTGGCACACAGGATGCCACACTAACAAATCTTGGATGATACTTAGAAAATCTGCATGTTAACAAAATTTCCATCTGTAAATTACAAAAGGCCACATTGCTTGGATCTGCACAGATACTATGCTGATATATTATGACATCTTAGGATATTTTGAAGAAATCAATGTGTATGAAGATCAACACCACTAAAGAATTTGCCTCTGTGATTTCACACTGCTTATATATAATAATAAGGATTGAGGAAAAGAAATTGTAAAAATCAGAAATACCAGGACTTGCAGATCAAAATTGAACACTTAATGGAAAAAGGAATCAATTTTTATACTGATCATCATTGGAGTCCTTGGAGCAATATCTAAAAGCCTTCCTCGATATTGGGGAATATTTAATTTATCAGATCTGAACACCCTAATTTTACAAAAAAAGCAGCCTATTTGGGAATGCTTATATTCTTAAATGCTACCTTAATAATTAATAATACCTTAATAATAATTCTTAGGACCTTGGTTAGAACTTTAATTATTGTTTCCAACAAGATTACCCATACATAACAGGCCCTTGGGAAGAACTTGATAGGTGGGCAAAAATGCCAAAATCAATCTAAACATCTGGTCACTTGTATGGTTGTCATACAAGTGACCAATAAACGTGTATGCCACCCAATTTTCAACAATTGTGGGAGGTTCACAATCCAGCCTAATTTGGTTGGTATTTGGTTTGGTACAGTAGATAATGCAAACTCCAAAACTCTACAGAGTACAGTAAACATGGCTTACGTAACACTTGTGTTCTTTAAACGCAACCAAAGTGCTACAAAAAAGCAAGGGGGGGGGGGAATTATTAACTTTATTCATCAGAGAAAAGTTTAATGTGAATTGGGCCACTGTGGTTTTTCACCAAATTTTGGTTAAAAGATGTCTTAGCAAGATATCTGGTGTTTAATGTTAGCATTATGTAAGAACCAGCTTTTTCTTTTTATACACAGAGTATACACAAATTAATCCCCAAAGACACTATATTTTATAAATAACTTTAAATGTTTGTATTAGTTGCCATTTTCTCCTAAAAGCTTCCTTACTCATTTAACATATGGTCTCTGAACATTCCTAAGTGTAGGACAGTAATACTTTCTCTTCTTGTGATTGGCCTGTTGGAGGGTAGATTTGCACACTTGCATATGTGTGTAAACACAGACAGACAAACACACATATGAATGAGTGAACGAATGATGGCTGAATTTCACCATCATTTTAATCTGCCACCAACACCTTATTCCCAGCAAGCTATGCTTTGAGTAATTGTGGGAAAATCACTCTAAAATCTCCTTATTGAGAAGACATATACAACATTGCACATAAAATTAAATTATTTAACTCTTATGCTCCTAACCAAGCCTTGGATTCCTTCTCATGCATTTTCCCCTGTCTGGTCTTGGTTTTCATTCTTCTTGGCTCATATAAGGGCAGGCCAGGAAGTACAATGACCTGGATTTTTCAAAGGGAAAAAGGTGATTTGGAGTTCATTTAGGTGCACACATCCAACCTCCTCTGATCAGAAGCAGATTATTCATAATATTTGTATTCATAATACTTAAATAGCAAGAAGAACTGATGGCAGGTGGACAAGGCAGTTATAGAATGGATCCCACTTGATAAAATGCGTCCACGAAAGAGACCTAAAACAAGATGGATCGATGACATCAAGTATTGTGGGCCCAATTGGCAAAAGAAAGCTCAGGACCGTATTGGTTGGAAACATGCAGAAGAGGTCTTCATGCTGCAGTGGATAGACAATGGCTAAAATGATGATGAAATGATGATGACGAATGCTTAAATTCACACTCTTCAAACCCCGTAACTGGTTCTGCAAATTCTCTTGGATAAAATTGGTTATAACGTAACATGCTAATAAAGATATAACTGTCTCCCCCTTACATCTACAATTGTGGCAACAGCAGTTTTTCTTCAGGGTTAGCATCGTTTTCTATGAAACCAAAGAACTGCTTAGCATTGATTGTAAAACCTGCCATTATATTCAAGCATTAGATAATAAAGTTGACCACGAGGAATCCAGAGCTGCAGAAGGAGAAGCTAAAGGGTCATAATAAAAGAACCACTTATTGTGATGCCCTAGAAACTAGATTTGTCAGAACCATTGTTTCCTCCTCCTCTGTAAAATCCTACTGATTGATCTTCTGAATGTCTTCTCTTGGTTGGAGAAATCCTGCCAATCAGCTGCTTGGAGCCTAAGAATCTAACTGTTGCTAAGTAGGATACTTACTGTTGCTAAAGTAACTAGGAATTATTCCTTTGTAGAGTTAAAAGAAGCAGGAGCGACCCCTTGTGATACATTTCAATACTACAGGTTAAACAAACCTTGCCAAATAGAATGGTATATTCTAAGAGACTGGCACAGCCAAGGATCCAAATTGTTATGGCATTATACTTGTGTCCTTTTTGCTCTAAATTTAGTTAGAATCCATTTGTTTCTTTGTATTTTTTTAAAAAAGCAATGTTCTTATTTGTTCAGTTCAGTTGATAAATCTATGCTGCATGACTTGGCAGAGAGAAATTGATTTGCAAACATATCTGGCCGATCTGAAAACCTGAATTATACTAACTACTTATATTTAAGTGCTGCCCACTTGTGCCATTTTCAATCATTTTGCTTCTAGTGTTCCAGTTCCCAGCCTCGCTGTCTAATATGTCATGCTAGGGTACATGTTTTTACCCATACAAATGTGTTGACATAGTAGCATCAAGGTGGGAGCAATCATGTTTTTCCTGTACAATTGAATGCATTTGCAAACAGCATGTGTGATTTTAAGTTTTACAAAAATGTACCAACAAATCAGGGGTGGGTTCTACTTACCTTTACTATCGGTTCGCAATGGGGCCGTGTGCGTGCTTACTTTGCTCGCGCACGCACGCACTCTTCTGCGCATGCGCAGAATCATTTTAGTGACGTTGGGGTTGGTGGGCCGGGCCTCCCATTGGTTTTACTATTGGTTCTATAGAACCGGTGCGAACCGGGGGTAACCCATCACTGCAACAAATTGATATTTGAAAAAAATTACTCCACAGATTAAATTTAACATAGTAAAAACCTCATAAGAATTCAGTCTCTAACTTAAAAGGAAGGACATAGTTGGCATCCTCTAACTGTCCTTTCCAGCCAGGATCTAGTAAGTAAGCATTTTGATAACTTTATTAGATTTAAACAAAAAACTTTATTAGATTTTTTATACTAAAAACATAAAAACTCAATCACTATTAGCAATTAAGATAAGAGAAAGAAAAGAAGTAAAGAAAGAAAAAAAAACAAAGCCAAAAGTTTAGAAAGAAAAGAAAGAAATATAAAGAAATATGTCCAATTTTCTTTTAAACAGTTATACAAATAAATTTAAAGTGACCTAAAGGTTACAACATTATTTTAATCTTTTTCCTATTATCTACCTTTTTAAATCATCAAACCCATATACCAGTGTTGGCAAACCTTTACGGCACTGAGTGCATGTGTGTGCACACACTCATCGGGGACGCAACCCGGAAGAAAAACTGCCATGTGGGCATGCGCACGCCGGGAAATGAACTTCCAGTTTCCAGCACATGCATGCGCACCAGCCAGCTTGTCTGCCAGTTACTGGCACGCATGCATGTGAGACGATCAGCTGGCCAGCGTGCATGCACACAACGGAAACCAGAAGACCAGCTCTTCCGGTTTCCAGCACTTCCACACGCACAAAAAACCAGCTGATGCATGCCAGAAACCCGGAAGAGGAACGGGCAACGCCACGTGTGCTAGCCATCATGGCTCCGCATGTCATTTCAGGTAAATGTGCCATAGGTTCGCCATCACGGCCATATACCATAACTCCATTTTTTTTTCATCTCACACAAAATGTCCCAAAATGGAGGGACATTTTGTGTGAGAAGGGAAAGTCTTGTGATGAAAAATGCTGTAGAAAGTCAGTGGAAAAGGAAGAGTCAGAAGCCTGGAAAAGAAATAGAGAGTGTTACGTGTGAGATCTATCTTATTCATCCTTGAATCCACACACAACAATGCTGGCATCAGATTTGAGGTCTGCATTACCAATTCTTAACTGGCCTATTTTGTGTCTACATATTCCAAGTCCCTGACAACTTGTGGTCCTGATTTGTGAGTAAATAGACCATTCATTACAGAGAATGCGATTGGCTTTCCTCTCTAGCTTTGTCTTTGTGTTTCCAGCCTGTCACCAGCCAGAGGAGAAATACTCCACAGTCAAAGCCCTGCGGCAGAAATAGGGTGGATCTGATTTCAGACTCTGCTTGAACTTCTTTAGGTTGGTTTGTCTTCCTGCTTTCCACACCCCATTTGAACAACTCCCAAGTTAAAATAATACCACATACAAACACATGGAAAGCCATCAAAGCATAAATTGCCACGAAGAAGAGATTGTTCAAGTAGATAGCCACTATAGAGCCAGAGAAAACTACAACTGACTTATTGTTGAATAATTATCTATCTCCCATCCCCTGAAGGAGGGGGGTGACTGAAATTGACAAAGCACAGAAACTAGCAAATAAACAATAAATCTTCCCTTTTTATTTGGGGGAGGTGGGACTGGAATGACGAAAAGTATATCCATATTGTTTTTCTGCACTTTGCTCCTTATCTTTAGCAATAACAATAGCACTTAGACTTATAAACCACTTCACAGTGCTTTACAGCCCTCTCTAAGTGGTTTACAGAGTCAGCATATTGCCCCCAACAATCCATTTTACCAACCTCAGAAGGATGGAAGGCTGAGTCAACCTTGAGCAGGTCAGAATTGCACTCCTGGCAGTTGGCAGAATTAGCCTGCAATACTGCATTCTAACCACTGAGCCACCACAACACAGTGGTCGCACAGTGGTTTTAAAGGGAATAGCACAACCAGTTTGCAAATATGCATGTACTAAGAAATATGGCAGCTACTACAATATTTCCAGTGAAGTACAGGTAATCCCCAATTTATGATCAAACACTTACCAACCGTTAAAAGTTGTGAATGAACTACTTTGAATGAAATCGGTTCTGAAGTTCTGACTATTAGGCCCCCCTCGTGGTCATGTGACTAAACTTGGAGTGCTTGGCAACAAAGCTGCATTTATGGCTGTTTGCAGTGTCCCAATGGTCACATGACTGTATTTTATGAAAGTTTTGCTGAAAATCAGCACTTAACAATTGCGGCTTTTGCTTAATAACTATTGCAAAAGAGGTCATAAAATTGTTTAGCAACTGGCACATCATACAACCATAATGGGCAGGCTTCACTATGTTCATATGTCAAGGACTACCTATAGTATATCAATCATGTGTTAAGCTGTAAACCACACTCACAGTACTGCATTAGCCACGAAATCATGCATAACTCTCTTACTAAGTACATCAGTGCTACCTTGCTGATGAAAAAGATGTTTTTGACACTGCCTGCTACATATACACTAATTCCAATAAGCTCAGGGACTGATGTATAAGAACCGACAGATGCATTAATGCATCTGATTCAATCTGGTTCTAAATCAAACTCAGCAAAGCCAGAATGGAAAGGAAATAAATTGCATTTACTGATTACAGTCTCTGCTTCATGCAGTCCAGACTGAAGTATTCATACGTACATGGAACCATCAAAACCAGTATATCATTAATACAACAATTCTAATTAACTACATTTTGAAAGCATCAATAAGTAGTCAATGCAAAGGGGAGTAAGTGTGTTATGGTCTCAATCCGCAACAATCAGTTAACCTTTTCAAAAACTTATAGAGGGGGATGTATTATGTGGGAAAAATGGTTTTAAGCATATAAAAGGCTCAAATGTTATTGCAGTTGCAAAAAAAATTAGACTGGAAAATCATGTTGCTATAATTCAGCCATTTGCCCCAAGTTTTGGTTGTATTTCAAATAATGATCCTTAATGTAAGTTTTTCATGGGTAAAAGGATCAAAATTATATCTATGTCTCAATATTTTCCAGCATGCATCTTACAGCATTAACAGCAAGTATTAACTGAACTTCACACAAGCAAGGAACCTGATATAGTCAAACCGTCAAGGGGAGACAGGGAAGGATGCTCTCTAGGGGTGTCAAAGTGGCAGCCCATGGGCCAGATGCATCATGCACAGGCCACGCCCAGCCCAGTTCCTCAAAGGGAAAAAACATCTCGAAACGTTACGTGACGGCAACATAACACCACAAGTTTGCTCTAGACTGATGAAAACAGAGGCAGCACAAAACAATGCCAGCAGAAGCCCTCTCCACCCCCTCCAATACTAAAATAAGATACAAAACACCCCCAAGAGAAATTTGAAAGACATTTTCAAGCATCCTGAGAATTAGGTAGAAAGAGAGAAGGCTATTTCACAGGGGAAAAAGAACTTTTGCAACATTGTGGTAACATATTAAAAATAACTGGTATTGCTTCATTCATTCTATCATTCTGGAGGATAAACACCTCATTCTGCTCAACAAAATAACCAGCCCCAACTTCTTGTCTTTCTTCTCTCTTTTCCTAAAAAAACCTCTTGTATTGTTTGAATATTGTTACAATATTGAATCATTTATAATCTGTATTGTACCACCCTCTTGTGGTAAACTAATACAATGTCAGTTCTTCAGCATGGCTACACTGAAAATAACAAATACAGGATTGTGTTTAACATATAATGATTGCAATCTATACTTCCCTCTAAATGTAACTTCACCTGTATGCAATTTTGACTTTTTTCTCAAAAGTAAGTAAACTAATTCTTTCATCTTGGATTAATATTCTTACAGCAAAATCCCATTCAGACCTACTCTGCCTCATGGAGCTCAGAGGGAGCTGATATATATCTGATTCTTTATAATTAATTTAGCATTTTTTATTTGTTTAGTATATTCATCTTTTTTAAAAATATAAAATAGCCC